TTATATACATTTATATGCGTAGCTGGAATACGCACTCTTACCTGTGCCCTAAGTTCGCTTGACAGCACAGTATTGGGCTGATAGGCCTCCTCTTCCCGGTGCTGTTGCGATTCGACTGTATTACCCGATGTCGTATTACCTGCACGGTGTAAAGCAATACTTGTACGCATTAACTTCGAATTATTCTTTATTGTGTGTAGTGGCGTGCATCAACAATGGAGTAACACTCCCATTCGGAAACACTCTTCAATCGAACTTCAAAATTCGACCGATAAATTAAAAAAGAAAATCAAATATTATCGCGCTATGCTGTTTTGCTCGTCCCTGTGTATTTAGGAAACACATTGCAAAAAAAAGATATCTCTCTCTCTCTGAGCACGATAAATACAGTACATATATACGCAATCGTCGTTTACATCCACACCAAATAGTAATACATACTAAATCAAACTAAATACACAAACCTAGATAGTAACAAATACTCAACCGACCCAAGTACATACACTGAGTAGATAACGGAGTACATAGGTATTCACCCTGCCTTGACTAGCTGCTGCCTCATGTATTCATGACAGTGTTGACTCATCAAACGATCTTTGATAGCGATTGGCAAACATATACACAAATCAGACTCGACAACATACACCTAGTGTACATATACACGATTGTTCTTTCTGCTCATACTATGTAAGTAGTTGACATGCACCCAACTTTAAAACACATACAAAGTAGTCACGTACACATGTCTACACAATCGCTCGTTGAGCTCATACTACATAGTATTGTACCCACAGTCAATTGTCCAACACCCACGAAGTAAGACTCCCAGCACATATAAGATAGGCCCATATATACCTACCTTGCATAGCTGCCGCGTCGATGCGACCGGCATTCATGGCCGCGTCCACCAGTGCGCTCGCTCGTCGTGCTGATACAGGAGACGGCCGCACAGTAGTACCTTCCTGTCCTCCTGCGGTCGCCCCGGGACCCTTAATTAGAGAATGAACGAGATGGATAAGAAGCTCGATTTTATGAGATATGGGAGAGGGAAGAGGACAAAATAGCGATCGCCTCGGGCCTTTTAAAGGGAAGAAAGAGCACTTGCAAATACTGTGTACCCTTGAATACAAGTAGGAAGCGAGGTTCTATATCTCCGCCAATAATAGCGCAACTCAATGTTGTATGCCTATAACTATACTCATCATATCTTGTGCAAGATTAACAGATAGCGACCTACTCGTCAATATAGCATTTCGAAGAGAATCCGGAACATAGAGCGACTAGCACTCCACCGAAATATTGATATGCATAATTACTCGCTCGC